CTACCACTTGAGCCACAGCACCATTTCTGGCTTTTTCTGTTTATGTAGTGCTGAGGAATCAAACCCAGGGCCTCATACCTGCAAGGCAAGCACTCTACCACTGAGCCACCTCCCCAGCCCCAACATTTATGAGTTCTATGAACTTTGCAATACAGTTATTTCTTCCACATTGGGTGATATGTACATTTTTTTTGTTTTGCATAGCGTCAACTGTTCCTCTTTCCCACTTATTCCCTCCCTCCCATCACTGCCATTGAGTTGCTTAGTTCATTTTGGTCAATGTCCAGTGCAGCTGATGGGTTCTGCTGTTGTATGTTTTTCCCTGATTCCCTCTAGTTCTGTGTCATCCTCCTGGTTTCCCTCTGGTGTGCACATATGTACCATATACGTGATCAGTAGTATGGGGTTATTTAGTAGTGATTCGACCAGATGAGTGGAAGTCCTTTGTTTCTTAAGTCTTGTTAATTTTGTTGTATCACCTTACATTTTGGATTTAAGATCCAGTTATCAGGGAGAACATGTGCTGTTTGTCTCTTTGCTCTTGGCTTACCTCGCTCAACATGATTTCTTCTAGCTCCATCCATTTCCCTGCAAATGCCATTATTTTGTTGTTTCCAATGGCTGCATAATATTCCATTGTGTATAGATGCCACAATTTTTGGATCCTTTCATCTGTGGTGGGACATCTGGGTTTCCATATCCTGGCTATTGTGAACAGTGCTGCAATAAACATGAGGTGCATGTATCCTTGTATGCTGGTTCCTGTTGTTCAGGATAGATGCACATAGGCTTATCTTTGCATCTTTGAAAATCTCTTCCCATGGGGCTGCTGCTTGTGTCTGTCTTTTTTTTCCCCCCCAGGGCTGAGGACCGAACCCAGGGCCTTGTGCGCGCCGGGCGGGCGCCCTTCCACTGGGATAAACCCCCAACCCCTGTCTGTCTTTTTATGAAGTCAGCAAGGTCCCCAAAACAGATTATACCTTGTTATCAGAAAATGTAATTGTAGGCTTTTTTTTTTTTTTTTTCCAGTCCTGGGGCTTGAACTTCAGGGCCTGGGCACTATCCCTGAGCTTCTTTTGCTCAAGGCTGGCACTCTACTGCTTGAGCCACAGCTCCACTTCTGGCCTTTTCTGTTTATGTGGTACTGAGGACTCAAATTCATGCATGCTAGGCAAGCACTTTACCACTCAGTCACATTTCTACATTTTTCCACATTCATGACCTAACATCCTCCTCCCCACCAAGACCAAGAATTTAATGACAGAGTTGGTGGCAGTCTAGCACCTACCACTCTTAACAGTTCTTGAGAAGGTTATTTAACCTTCAAAGTCTTCAGTTTTCCTCTTCTGTAAAATGGGGCCAGTGATTCCATAGTCATTATAGTAGATTGTATCTCATACAGCAGAATGTTTAGAGTCATGCTGAGGCATATCTCAGGGGATGAGCCTGCCTTCTGGATCCTGAAAGCTAAAATTTCTCATAAAGTTAAACCATATCTTTTCTTGGAGGTTTGGATTTGTAAATAGCTTGAGCCTGAGCTCACAGTCCTGGTGTGTGTATCCAGGTGGCTGGCTGTTTCCTTCCCAAAAGTCTAAGATTCTTAATCCTTTAGGCCTGTACTGATGAGTTAGGTTCAAAGAAGCTGGCATCAGGCCATGATCTTAGCCATTAGCTAGCTTAAACAGGAAATAGAGTTGGTATGGGGAATGGTAGCCAACTTGGAAATATAACCTAACAACTCACCTCTGAGATCATCTCTAGGGAAGAGATGTACAATCCTACCCAGTCCCTTATATAGTTTTTCCGATTCATTTAACTTGTATCTAATCTTCTGAGGAAGGGTTTGCTGCACTCTGTTTTGCAGATGTAGACACTAAGGTTTCCAGTGTGGTTGAATAGTGCTTAAGACTACTATGTGTGCACATGTGTGTGTCTATCCTAGAGCTTGAACTCAGGTGGTAGTGGCTCTGAACTTTTTTGCTCTAGGCTAGCACTCTACCACTTAAGCCACAGCTCCACATTTGCCTTTTTGGTGGTTAATTGGAGATTGGAGGCACAGGGACTTTTCCTGCCTGGGCTGGTTTTGAAATGCAATCCTCAGCTCTCAGCCTCCCTGAGTAGCTAGTATTACAGGCATGAGCCATTAACTCGTGGCTACTTAATAGACTGTTTTTTGGGTTTTTTTTTTTGGGGGGGGGGAGGGGGTTGTTTTGTTTTTTGCGGGGGGCATGGGGGGCGGTGTCAGTTGTGGGGCTTGAACTTGGGGCCTGGGCACTGTCCTTGAGCTCTTTTTGCTAAAGGATAGTGCTCTACCACTTTGAGCCATGAAGGCCACTTCCAGTTTTCTAGTGGTTAATTGGAGATAAGAGTTGTGCAGACGTTGCTGCCCGGGCTGGCTATGAACAGTGGTCCTCAGATCTCAGCTTCCTGAGTAGCTAAGATACAGGCGTGAGCCACTGGCGCCTGACATTAATAGACTTTTGATTTTTTTTTCTTTTTTTTTTTCCACTCTGTGCAGAATTGAGTGAGGCCAATGAAGAGCTTTAACTGGGATGGCAGTTTTCATAGAGCACTGTAGTAGAGTACTGGGAGGATGTGGTGAGATAGCAGAAAAGATAGAGGAGGCTTAAGGAAAGATTACTGGAAGAGGTATATATATTTGTCAGCTCCTTCTCTCACTAGGGTGGTCACTCTTTATGTGGCTAACATATTTATCATTGCTGCTGGAGGGCAGGGAGGGGAAGGTGGCTAGGCCAAGAAAGGGAACAGGCAAGCTAGACAACACAAGGTATTTCCTTCTCTCATTTCCCTGTGAAAACAAGAGTAGGCAGCCCTGGAACTTTCCTTCATGCCAAGGGTAGGGCTGGCCCCAGGGCATATTAAGTTTCAGGTTGGCAGACTGGGACTTTCAGTGTCTCTTGTAGCAAGCAGGTTTCTTAGCAGTAAATAATACTCTTGTGGTCTCCACTGGGCACTTTCTGCTAAAGTTTGACCTGGAGAGCTTCGGTTCCCTCTCATTGGAGCTTAATACTCAGGAATGCTCAATGGGTTGTCACAGATGCCAGGAAGTTCTTGAAGACCAGCACTTGTGAGCCTGCCAGTTGGGTCAGTGCCAAGGTCATTTCTGTGGTCCTGTTCAGCTCTTACCTACACACTAGTTGTACAGCCTGTAGCTCATTGTTCTGGAGCCTTTTGGAGGTTGGGGGCAGTCTTGAGCTTTGACAAACATCAGGACTTGCTTTAGAACTGCATTAAGAGAAGTGGCTTCTTACTAGAGAAGTTAGAACCCTTGGTCAGTCATATGCCTAAAGCCAAGTAAAACAGAGTGATAACACTTGTTAACAATAGGGAACATTGCCTGTGTCTGGTACTGCAGATTTGGGCCTTTGATGTGTCTTTAGACTTAGCTTTTTTGAGAGGCTTTTTTCACCAGGTCTCTGGCTGGGCAGGTAAATGCTGGCTGTGTGGATCTGTCCCTTTGGTGCTATGTTCCCAGTGAGAGCACGTGAAGGACTTGAGAACAAGAGTTTCAAATTAGAAGGATGCTAGCTGAGAAGAGGACAGCCTTCTTCCTACATTCATTAGCCTGTGAACAGTTTTGAAATCATGTAACTTGTTGAAAATAAATAGAAATTTGAGTGTGATAGAAATTCTTAAAATATCCCAAACACAGCTGCCTTACAAATTCGGATTCCCCCAAAGGAGGCTTTTGAAAGCTTTTTTCCAAGTAGATAAAATTCTGTTTTGGAACTTGGCGGTCCTTGTTCTTCCTGTGACTCAATGCCGTCAGAGACTTCCTTGGCTTCCTGTGAATACTAGGAGGAGGAAAGGGTAGAGAAATTAAACAGCTATTTGTCTCCTCACCAAGGTTTCCCCAGCATTAGTTGCCTCTAGAGCCTTTAAAGGTATACTCTCTTGAGGGCTCTTTATTGTTTTTATTTATTGTTATCTGAAGCATTTTATTTTATAGTGATGGGAGATTGAACCCAGGGTTCACACATGTCTGGCAAGTGTTCTGCCACTGAGCTACACCCGGCCTTAAGGGATCTTTTTTTGTTGGCTGTGAGCTTGAACTCAGGACCTGGGCATTGTCCCTGAGTTCTTTTTGTTCAAGGCTAGTGCTCTACTACGTTGAGTCAGGAATGCCATTTCTGGTTGCCTGGTGATTAATTGGAGATAAGAATCTGATGGACTTTCCTGCCTGGGCTGCCTTTGAACCAGAATCCTCAGATTTCAGTCTCCAGAGTAGCTAGAATTATAAGTGTAAGCCATCAGTGCCTGGCTCCTTAAGGGATCTTTACAAGAAGGATTTCTAGCCTGTGATGGGAGAGTCCTGCTTTGGCCATAAGAGACCAGTGTGTTTCCTTTGCCTCATGCTAGGTTTTTCCTTGAGTGATTTCTGGTCAAAAGCTTCCTAAAGTTTAACGTGGTATTTCCCTTCTGTATAGATCTTGAACCTCCCACATAATAAGTAGCAGCCATAGGGGCTGGGAAGGTGGCTCAGTGGTAGAGCGCTTGCCTTGCATGCATGAGGCCCTGGGTTCGATTCCTCAGCACCACATAACAAAAAAGCCGGAAGTGGCGCTGTGGCTCAAGTGGTAGAGCAGTAGCCTTGAGCTGAAGAGCTGAGGGACAGCGCCCAGGCCCAGAGTACAGGTCCCATGACCGGACCCAAAAAAAAAAAATAAGTAGCAGCCATAGACCTGGGTCATATTCTTTGCTCCAAGGATTGTCTGTTGATTCTTCTCTTTTTTTGTTTTGTTTTTGTTTTTTTGCCAGTCCTGGGGCTTGAACTCAGGACATGGGCACTGTCCCTGACCTTCTTTTGCTCAAGGCTAGCACTCTACCATCTGAGCCACAGCATCACTTCCAGCTTTTTCTATTTACATGGTACTGAGGAATCAAACCCAAGGCTTAATGCATGCTAGGCACCACTAAGCCACATTCCCAGCCTGTGTCTGTGGATTCTTTATAGTGACATATTCTGTATTTCTTTCTAGTGGATATGCTGCTGATGAAATCACTCACTGCATTCGGCCTCAGGACATCAAGGAACGCCGAGCAGTCATCATCCTCAGGAAGTAAGTGTCCTGGTGTGACTAGTGCCTTCTGCTTCTCTGTGCCAGGGGCAAGCCAGAGTGAAATCTGGAAGACCAAAAGGGTATAAGCTGTCTTAATTTTTATTTGCATTCTGAAAAGATAATGTTATTTTGTCTTTTCATCAGAAAGTAAGTTCTTTAGCTGATTAAGTAGAGAGTTTAGTAGTGAACAAAGGCACATGCTTCTGATATTTAAGGACACAGTCTTGTGTGTGTGTGTGTGTGTGCGCGCGCGCCAGTCCAGGGTCTTCAATTCAGGGCCTGGGTGCTGTCCCTAAGGTTTTTTACACTCTGTCATTTGAGCCAACAGCTCCATTTCCAACTCATATATACAAGAGTATATTACTTGGGATATATCAAAAAACTGAAATAAAATATGGATTCACCTTAGGGGGAGAGGCAGTCTTAGATTTGACTCCTAAGATGGAAACTATTGGCCAGGCAAAAATGGTAAGTTCAGATGCTAGAGACAGGAACTGGTTTAGGGACCAGTGTAGGTGAGAGTCAAAGGAGATGCATAGGCCTTAGATCAATATTTGACCCTCACGAAATGACTTGTGGACCCTTGAGAAGTCTTTTTAGTTTCCGGAAGACCCCCAACTCCAGGGTTGTTATAAGACATATTCACAGGCTAAGAAGGTGGCTTAGTGTTAGAGTGCTTGCCTAGCATGCAAAAAGTCCTGGGTTCAATTACTCAGTACCACATAAACAGAAAAGGCCAGAAGTAGTGCTGTGGCTCCAGTGGTAAAGTGCTAGCCTTGAGCAAAAGAAGCTCAGGGACAGTGTCCATGCCCTGAGTTCAAGCCCTAGGATTGGCAAAATAAAAAAAAAGATTTATATTCATGAGGTTGGTACTGTCTAATTAACCAGATATTGTGGCACAAGGCAGAGTAAATAGCCCAGTTCTTTGCTGCTGGTCAAAGGGTCTCAGCTCAAGAGTGTAAATGAAGCTGGATTAAATATTTATAGAGATATATTTGCCTAATGTTAACTGAAATTGGTATGTTCTAGACTTTGCTACTGCCAAGAGTACCACTAACACAAGCTTGTTTCCACACTGTGCTGGTGATCAAGCCTAGAGTCTCACACATGCTAGGCAAGTGCTCTGCCATTGTTACATCTCCAAACCAAGTAAGCTGGCAGACATTGAATGACTTAGTAGAATGCAAGGAGGGCTCTCCAGAGACACACACCTGAAGGTAGTAGATGGTGCCTGGGTCTCACCCGAGAACAGAAGTCCCTGTCTCCAATTAACCACCAAAAAAAGCAGAAGTGGTGATGGAGCTCAAAGTGATAGAGTACTAGCCTTAAGCAGAACAGTTCAGGGACAGTGCCCAGGCCCCAAGTTCAAGCCCCACAACCAAAAATAAATGAAAAACCTAAAACCAAGAACCAACATCTATCTCTTCCGTCCTCCCCATTTTCCTTTCTCTTTCCTTTTGTGAAGTTTAGGAATAGAACCCTAGGACTTTGAGCATACTAAACAAGAGCTCCATCACTGAGCCATCTCCTCATCTCAAAGTGGCAAAACTACCCCTGGCTCTGAGCTTCTTATTCTTTTTTTTTTTTTTTTTGGTCAGTCGTGGGGCTTGAACTCTGGGCCTGGGCACTGTACCTGAGCTCTTCAGCTCAAGGTGAGTGCTCTACCACTTGAGCCACAGCACCACTTCTGATTTTCTAGTGGTTTATTGGAGAGAAGAGTCTCAGCAGACGTTCCTGCCCAGGCTGGCTTTGAACCGTGATCCTCAGATCTCATCCTCCTGAGTAGCTAGGATTATAGGCATGAGCCACCAGTGCCTGGCATGCAAGAGATGATTTTTATGGAAGCTTATTGTCTAGGAACTCTGAGGTAGTCCAAGTCCAAAACACTATAACACTTTATAGAGATGAAGGATTTGATAGGAGCCAAGAAGAGACTTCATTACATGTAGAGAAATCTAAAGGGTACTAGGAAGTCTGTGGGCACATAAGCAGTGAGGTGAGGGGTTCACATGTGACAAACTATAAGAGAAGCTAGTTCAATAGTTTAATAAGCATTGGAGCCAAAGTGTCCAAAAGGGTCCATAGGGTAAAATCCCTGCTGGGGACATTGCAAGGGTGTTAGTTTCTTTTTTTTTGGCGGGCGGGGGGGGGGGGTCCGGTCGTGGGGCCTGAACTCTGGGCCTGGGCGCTGTCCCTCAGCTCTTCAGCTCAAGGCTAGCGCTCAAGGGTGTTAGGTTCTATCCCTCAGCAGGGTGTAGAAGAATGATCAGCTCTTGGTTTCCCTAGCTAAGCATGAGGTATTGCCTCTACAGAGATCCTTCTCACATGTTAGGCATACTACTATTCCTATCTTGATGATTTTTTTTATTTTTATTTTTTGTCAGTTATGGGGCTTGAACTCTGGGCCTGGGCAGAGTCCCTCAGCTCTTCAGCTCAAGGTGAGTGCTCTACCACTTGAGCCACAGCCACTTCCAGTTTTCTGGTGGTTAATAGGAGATTTTCTGCCCTGGCCAGCTTTGAACCACAATCCTCAGATCTCAGCTTCCTGAGTAGCTAGGATTACAGCTGTGAGCCCCTAGTACCTGGCTCTATCTTGATGATTTTTTTTTTTTTTGGGGGGGGTCCGGTCGTAGGGCCTGAACTCTGGGCCTGGGCGCTGTCCCTCAGCTCTTCAGCTCAAGGCTAGTGCTCTACCACTTGAACCACTGCGCCACTTCTGGCTTTTTTCTTTTTGCTTATGTGGTGCTGAGGAATCGAACCCAGGGCCTCTGGCATGCAAGGCAAGCGCTCTACCACTGAGCCACCTTCCCAGCCCCGTGGAAGACTTTATTTCATAATGTTGTAGTCTTTATAAAGTCATAGTATGGCTGGACACTCATGGCTCACGCCTGTAATCCTACCTATTTAGGAGGCTGAGAAGATCATGGTTCCAAACTTGCTCAGGCAGGAAAGACCATGAGACTCCAATTAATCACCAGAAAACCAAACATAGAACTGTGGCTCCAACTGGTAGAGCAGAAAAGTTCAGGGACAGCACCCAGACCTGAGTTCAAGCCCCACAACTGACATTCTCCCCCCCCCCCCCCCCCCCCAAAAAAAAAAAAGTCTTATTAGAATCTTTATAATGCTTTAGAATCTTCCAAGTTGAGCTTAATGGCTAATAGTCTTGTTTGGGCTGATTTCTGCCATCTGGACATCAACACTACAATAGGAGAGAGCTGTGGGAAATAGCTGTTAATTCACATTCTTATATCTGGGTATTGCCCACATTCTTATATCTGGGTATTGCCCAGTAGTACTGTCTTGATTCCAAGACCCTCAGAACTGAATTCTATCTTAAAGCCAGTCATATGTTCTTCCTGTAATGGGGAAATTGAGAAGGATAATGACTAGCTTGGAATCTGAAGGGCAGAACCAGTAAGAAGTCTCCTTTTACTTTTTCTTTCTTTTCTTTTTTGCTGGTACTAGGGCTTGAACTTTGGACCTGGGTGCTGTCCCTTATTTTTTTTGTTTAAGTCTAGCACTCTACCATTTGAGCCACAGCTCCACTTAAGACTTTGATGGTTAATTGGAGATGAGTCTTATGAGCTTTTCTTCCTGGTCTGGCTTGGAACTGCAATCTTCAGATCAGTCTTCTGAGTAACTAGGATTATAGGCATGAGCCACTGTCATCCAGCCTCTCCCTTCTCTTGATGATAAATCATGCTACTCTGAGCCTGCAGAAGCCCAGCATGAAGGCCAAGACTGGTGGGCCAGTTCCTTCTCTTAGGCACCTTGTTTGGTGTTCCACTAATTTGGCCCTGTGGGCATCAGAACATTAGTTCCTGATTGAAAGGAAGAAAATGCTGTCCAGTCCAGTGGTTGATGTCTGTAATCTTAGTTACTGGAGGCTGAGACCTGGAGAATTACTGTTCAAAGCCACCCCAGGCAGAAGTCTCAAGTTAACCAGCAAAATGCTGGACTGGACACATAGTTCAAGTGGTAGAGCACCAGCTGTGAGCAAGAAAGCTGAAGAAGTGTGTAAGACTGTGACTTCAAACCCTAGTACAAGAAAAAAAGAAAAGAGATGGTGATGATGAGATAGCCCACCCCCATCCTGGCCCAATGGTTCTTGTTTGTCTGGCTTGAAGTTTCACCTAGACTTAAACCTTTCTCTCATGTCATCCAGAACATTGGCCTACTACCTTTCTGACCCAGTTTTTTTTTTTTTTTTTTTGGGGGGGGGGGGTCCAGTCGTGGGGCCTGAACTCTGGGCCTGGGCGCTGTCCCTCAGCTCTTCAGCTCAAGGCTAACACTCTACCACTTGAGCCACAGTGCCACTTCTGGCTTTTTTCTTTTTGCTTATGTGGTGCTGAGGAATCGAACCCAGGGCTTCATGCATGCAAGGCAAGCACTCTACCACTGAACCACCTTCCCAGCCCCTCTGACCCAGTTTTCTCATTGCTTATAGTAGGTCACCACATAATAGAGAAAGTGACTGAGGCAGCTGCGGAAGTTGTGAAGGAATGGATATAACTTTTAGATTTCCCACCTGGTCTATACCCCACTACTTGGTGATTAGCAGTTCCTTGAAAAGGTGCTTCTGGGCCTTCTGCCAGCTATGCCCCTGTCATTCTCTACCCAGTCTGCTACCCAGGCCCCTCTCCTGCCCTGGCCCCCATCCACTTATTTTCTAGCCTTCCCTGTGATACACAGGAAGCCTCAGGGCGTTCTTGAGGTTTCTAAAGCCAGTAGTTTCTTGGTCTGGCTTTATAAAGGACTCAGATCATTGCCGCAGGCATCTCTGACCAGCATGACCATCCTTCTCTTCTTCATCTGTATGACCCTTTACAAAGCAGTATGTTCCTTCTCTTGAAACTTGCACCTGATGCTGGATGGGGACCTTGGCTTTGGAAGCCCTCTGGTCCTATTTGGTTAGCATCCTGGAACCAGACAGAAGCTTCTAGGTGGTTGTGGCAGGACTAGATCAAACTCATGATTGTGGAATGGACCTGGGCTCCTCCTCTTTTTTTTTTTGGTCAGTCATGGGGCCAGAACTCTGGGCCTGGGTACTGTCCCTCACCTTTTCAGCTCAAGGCTAGTGCTCTACCACTTGAGCCATAGCTCCACTTCTGGCTTTTTCTGCTTATGTGGTGCTGAGGAATTGAACCCAGGGCCTCATGCATGCCAGGCAAGTACTTTACCACTGAGCCCCCTTTCCAGCCCTGGGCTCCCCGGACTCTGTGTGCCTATAATTTTATATGAGAAAGTAGGGTGGCTCTATTTCCTATTCTGTTGGTGGGGGGGGGGGGGGCCCTCAGATATCTGGGCCTGTGTGGGATGAGGAGAGCTATCTTGCAGTTGAGAGCCCTATTTTTTGTCCCTTTGAGACAGCAAGTTCTTAATCATGGGAGGATTCCAGAGTATTCCCCTTCTAAGCCAAAACTTGAGAAAGATGCTTTCTGGAAGTCACCTAGACCAGTTTCTAGTTGGGTTCCAAGAAAAATCTAGAGCAAAGATTTCTGGGCTGTATGCCCTGTTGGTTTCTGCTTGGTTTGACCAGAAATTAGAATTGATCTGAAGAGAACTGTGACTTCACCAGAGGTCCATTAGAGACTCCATGTGTATTTCCTTTACAGGACAAGATTAGATGCTCCCCGATTGGAAACAAAGTCCCTGAGCAGCTCTGTATTGCCACCCAGCTATGCTTCAGATCGGCTGTCAGGAAACAACAGGGACCCTGCTCTGAAACCCAAGCGATCCCACCGCAAGGCAGACCCTGATGCTGCACACAGGTACTCATCTTAGGACATTCTGCAAAGTAGTCTGTGGACTAGCTTTGGGGCAGAATAGATGGAGAAGCCTTTTATTTCTCTTTAACTTTTTGTTGTTGTTGGTGGTGGTGGTCGTGGGGCTTGAACTCTGGGCTTGGGCACTGTCCCTGTGCTCTTCAGCTCAAGGTGAGCGCTCTACCACTTGAGCCACAGCACCACTTCTGGTTCTCTAGTGGTTTATTGGAGAAAAGAGTCTCATGGACTTTCGTGCCTAGGCTGGCTTTGAACCACGATCCTCAGATCTCAGCCTCCTGAATAGCTAGGCTTACAGGCGTGAGCCACTGGCACCCAGCTGGAGAAGCCTTTTAAAGGGTAGGCTGGTTAGGAGCCTAGGATTGCCCACCCTTCCAGAACCTATGTCTGGTTCCTACAGAATAAGGACATGGGTGGCATTCTTACCTAACTGGACCAGCTGCCTATGCACCCAAAGGGAAAGGATTAGGTAGGGAATCTAATAGATAGGAATGTGTTGGGCTGGGAATGTGGCTCAGTGGTAGAGTGCTTGCCTAGCATGCATGAAGCCCTTGGTTCGACTCCTCAGTACCACATAAACAGAAAAAAGCCAGAAGTGGCACAGTGGCTCAAGTGGTAGAGCACCAGCTCTCAAAAGAGCTCAGAGACAGTGCGCAGGCCCTGAGTTAAAAGCCCCGTGACGACCAAAAAAAAGTGTGTGTATGTGTGTGTGTGTGTGTGTGTGTGTGTGTGAATGTGTTGTAACCTTCCTATGGTCGTCGTTTGCTTAGTACCAATTCTTAGGGGTTTATGCTTGGATCTTAGAGGGAATATTGATACTTAGAATTGAGTCATGCATGGTTGGGAAGGTGGCTTAGTGGTAGAGTGCTTGCCTTGCATGCATGAGGCCCTGAGTTCGATTCCTTAGCACCACATAAGCCGAAAAAGCCAGAAGTAGCACTGTGGCTCAAGGTCTAGAGCACTTGCCTTGAGCTGAAATGCTCAGGGACAGCACTCAGGCCCAGAGTACAAGCCCCATGACCAACAAAAAAGATGAGATAGGAAGGATGAGGATGTTGTGTATGGAAGGGCATTAGGGGTAGGAAACAGTATAAGGCCTAAGGCTGTGAGGCAAAAGAAGTGCTTGATGGTTTCAGGGGTTAGCAAGGCTGGCAAGCAGGGAAGGAATGTTGGAGGGAGCCCAAATGAAGAGAATTGAGAAATAGAAATAGATAGTAGGACTATGGAGAGTATTGAGCTGTGGTAGGGAAGGCTGTCTATCCAGCAGGATACTGAGTACTAGAGTCAAGTAGATATCCCACTGGGTGACTAGAAAATGTCCTAAGACAAGGGTGGCCATGAAGCCTCAGTGGACAGGAATTTGAGTTTCAGTACTTCTACAGGCATGGATGAAGGTCTCTGTTGGAGTGTGTGGTTTCTATCAGTGGGGCCTTCTGTCTTCTGGCAAGTTGAATAGATGCCCCTGCAGGTACTGGGCTTGAATGAGATCAGGATAGATCTTTGTTGAGAACCATTGAACTAGAAGGATCTGCCCCAAGGACATGGACTCTGAAACCAGGCACAGAGGTAGTAAGTCCAGACTCTTCCTGACAGCCTTTCAGATAAAGCCCTCTCTTTGCTTGCAGGCCTCGAATCCTGGAGATGGACAAGGAAGAGAACCGCCGCTCAGTGCTGCTGCCCACACACCGGCGGAGGGGTAGCTTCAGCTCTGAGAATTACTGGCGCAAGTCTTATGAGTCCTCAGAGGACTGTTCCCAGGTGGCAGGAAGTCCTGCCCGCAAGGTGAAGATGCGGAGGCACTGAGGCCTGCCCCACCCTCCTGGAACTCTGGTTAATCCTCATGTAGCTGCCCCTTTTTCTGTTTTGTTTTGAGGGTTTTTTTTTTTTTTTTTTTGGTGGGTTTTTTTTCCCCCCTATATATTTTTTTCTTTGGTTTGTTGCCCATTAAGGCTGAAGAACAGAATTGGCCAAGATCTGGGTTCTTCTGTTTTGGCTTTCCTCCTGGATAGAAAGGCTGTTGGTGTCTGTAAGGGACAGAGCTCATGCTGGAATAGACAGTAGAGGTATGAGGGATAGCTGTGTTGGACTGGCTTTATTTAAAAGGAACAAAATGTTTTGGTTAAGGAATTTTTGTTTTTGCTTTAAATGTAAACTTTGTTCTAAACAAGTTCAGCCTCCTGCCCGCCCTTCCTCCACTAATGTTCATGCTTGGTCCAGTTTTATTGGAGCCCTGTAGGCTCTGTTGTGGGGCCTACTAACCCTCACCTCTCACCTGCTCTCCAGGCTCTGGAAGCTCATGCAAACACCCTTGTCCTCCTGTTCTTTGGGTTGGCTGGGTGGGGGTACTTAGTGCCAGTCCTTGACACCCCAAAGCAATTGCTGAGCGTCCTGGGCTTCCTCCATGCCCTCTGGCCTGCTCTGCCCACCATTCCTCCTTGCCAAGAGCATGCCTCTTTGCTGGATTGCCTTTTAGGCATATGCATTTGATTGTATGGAACAGGTAGACTTGCCATGTTGGATCAGTTTTAGGAATTGTTTCTAGCTAGGACTGGTGTCCTTCCAAGTCTAGCATTTGGAATATGGGAAATTGTTGTGGTGTGTGGTAGGATTTTTTTTCTTTTGTTTTGGGGGGTTTTGTCTCCTCCTCCCTCTTAGCTTTCTCTTCCTTTTTTTTTCTTCTTCATTGGCCAGTTTGGGCCTCCTCCTCATGTCATCCTTCTAGGAGGGTGCCTGCCCCTATTTCCTCCTGCAGCTTGCATCCAAGGCCAGAACTCAGGCCTGCAGACTGGGTTGGTGCCTTCTCTGCCTCAGGGGTATAGGAACTGGGGAAGGGGCTTCTAAAAAATAAGTCTTCAGCAGTTTTTACCCACTCAGATCCTGGAAGGCTGCAAGATTTTGCTGATCTAAAATTCATTAGGAATGACTTCTTGCCAGTCAGGCCAGGACCTGAGCTTGCCAAAAGCAAAAGCCCTCCTGGCAACCGGGCCACCACCACTCCAGGAGGTTTTGTGTACAGAGACCTAGACCTGAAGCCTCAGAAGCTGCAGAAATCTGGGGCAGCACCATCAAGAAGCCTCTCTCAGGGGCCAGAACTCCTTTGCCAGCGTGGATTCCTCAAGTTGGGACTGCATAACTAAAGCAGTTGCAGTTTTATTTTTTTTACAGCTTTTTTCCCAAAAAATGATTTGTAGTTGTGTGTGCAGCACTTTGCCCTGATATGTGTGCTCTACAATAAAAACCAAATCTAATATATTTTGAAACAGTTGTCTGATGCTGTCATACGAGAAAGCTTGCTTTTGATGCTTCCTTAATCTCTATTTTCTGAGCCTTTGAACAGGTGGTGGGGAAGTGGAGTATGTTGCTCACCTGAGCTCAGGACTACCAGAGACCAGCCTCCTAATGGCTAGAGGTGTACTTGTCCTTTGCCTACTTCTTTCTCTGCTCCAAGGATAGTCTTTGTAAATCTTCCTATCCTCTTGGCTGTGGTCAGAGAGACTACTGCCCAGTGAAGAGGAAGCAGCCTGAGCTGCAGAAAGAAGCTGACCTTTGTAAAGGATGTGTAAATGATGTTGCTCAAATTATTGAACTCTCCTGTGTGTGCTGGCCAAGCCTTTATTGTAGTGAACACAGCCCTTCTGGTCCCTGTTGTCCAAATGTTCACAGTAGCATTCAAGATAGGCATAAAGCAGCTATTTTGGATGGAGTGAAGCTGAAGACCTATGGGCTTTAATTCTTCCAGATCTTTGATCTCTGTCTGATGGAGCCTGGTCAAAAACTTCAGTCTAGAGTCTCCCTCACTCTTTTCCAAAGATCAGGTCCAGTCTGCATGCTGAATTGTGGGAACCTGGACAAATCTTTGTCCACTTACCAGTGAAGACAGTTCAGAGGGAACAAGTAGATGACTGGGGTATTTGGTCTGTGCCAACTAGGCCCTATTCCTTCCCATCTCCCCCTGTAGGGGCACAGTGGACGTTGGATACCCTGGAGGGAGGGGGCACATTGATGCTGGAAGGGAAGTAACAGGCTGAATGTTATTCAGGCTACATTCAGCAGAAGTAAGCCCCCCAACCTTGTGCCTGGTTCCTTTGCTCTAGGTAAATCAGATTAGAGGACTGAAAGTATGGGAGCGATGATAAAAATCAAAGCTATGTTCTTTCAAGCCTCACTATTGACCAAAAAAAAAAAAAATTGAAGCTAAGAATCAGGGGCTCAAACCTATAGTCCTAGTTACTCAGGAGGCTGAGATCTGAGGATTGCAGTTTGAAGCTAGCCTTCCCAGGAAAGCCATGGGACGCTATTCCAATTAACCACCAGAAAAGCCAGAAGTAGAACTGTCAATTGAAGAGTGCTAGCCTTGAACACACAAAAACTCAGACAGCATCCAGGCCCTGAGTTCAAGCTAGGACTGGCACATACAAACCAGAAGCTCCAGTGGCTCATGCCTATAATCCTAGCTACTCAGGAGGCTGAGATCTGAGGATCATGGTTCAACACCAGCCTGGACAGGAAAGTCCATGAGATTCTTAGCTCCAGTTAATTAGCAAAAAGCTGAAATTGGAGCTGTGGCTCAAGCAATAGAGTGTTAGCCTTGGGAAAGCACAACAACAAAACACCCAGATCTCAGCCTTCTGAATAGTTGGGATTATGGGTGTTTTTGAGCCAGTTTTCACTTTATAGTCCGGGCTGACCTCAAACTTACTATGTAGCCAAACTGGCCTTGAACTTATGATGCTTCTGCCCCAGGCTCCCAATGTCTCATACGCACACACACTTTCAAGGCTGCTAACATGCTGGGGCAAGTACTCTTACCACTAAACTACACTCCACCCCTTCAAAAATTATTGAAAATTTGCCAGTTGATGTAGTTTTTGTTTGTCTTCTGCAGAACTTGTGAACTTGCTAGGAAAATTTGCCATGGAAGTAGCTGGGTGCTGGGTTGGTCACACCTGTAATCCTAGCCTAGCTACTCTGGAGGCTGAGATTTGAGACTTGCGGTTCAAAGCCAGGCCAGCAGGAAAGACAGACTCTTTTATCTCCAGTTAACCACCAGAAAACTAGAGTGGAACTGTGGCTCAAAATGGTAGAACACTACCCAGGCCTGTCATCCTAGCTACTCAGGAGGCTGAGAACTGAGGATCATGGTTCAAAGCCAGCCCAGGCAAGGAAAATCGGTGAGACTCTTATCTCCAATAAACCACTCAGAAAACAGGAAGTGGTGCTGTGGCTCAAGTGGTAGAGCGCTTGCCTTGAGCAGAAGAGCTGAGGGACATGGCCCAGGCAGAGTTCAAGCCCTACAACTGACAAAAAAAAAACACTGTAGAGCACTAGTTTTGAGCACAAAAGCTCAGAGATAGCACCCAAGCCCCATGACTGACAAAGAAAAAAAAATTCTCGGAAGTGACTCCAACATACCATTGGATTTCCATCGACCAGAGAAGGGATGCTGTAAGTTGCTGTGTTGAGGACTCAGGATAAAGCCAAGGCATTATCAAGTGACTAAGAGATGTGAAAACACTGGAGTTGGGGCCCCTCATGTGGGGAATTGGGTGGGAGTAGGAAAAGCAAAGCTTTGGATCTTGACTAGGTTCGGGGTCCCTCATTTGCTTATTGGTGCAGTTCTGTCTTCTTCCCACAAGGTGGCAGCAGAACCTGAGTGATAGCATCCTCTTGGCAGCAAGGGAGGGTAGTCTGAGTTTAGAAGGGTAAGTGAAGTCCCTACAGAGGCCCCAAAACCTGCCAGTGTTTACCCAGAACTCAGATTCCCTGCTGCTCTGCTTTGCTAAATCAGTACCCTTAGGACAAGTGTGGAAGAAGCCTGGAACCTGGGGATAAGCAGAGGCCCAGGTGCCACATACAGATATGGTTAGAGCTCCTACCCTGGGTCTTATACTACCTCTTGTACTTTCCCCGCTCCTTAGGGAAGACCTGTGTGCTTGTACATATACATATGCCAGTACCCTTTGCCACAGGCAGCTCTGCTCAAGCCAAGCTATTGCTCTGGCCCTACCCAGATATTTCTGGGCTCCTCTGTCCCAAATGTCTGGCTTCATTCTACATAGCCTCAGAATATTTTTACTCCAAACTGGGAGTTTAGAACCTGATTTCCACCCTTCCTCCTTTCTCCCTTTCTCACAATGAGTGAGACCTTGTACCTACCTACAAGGCTTAAAAGAACATGAGGCACTGCTGGGTGCTGGTGGCTCACATCTGTAATCCTAGTTACTCAAGTGGTAGAGCACTTGCCTTGAGCTGAATTGCTCAGGGACAGCACCCAGGCGCAGAGTTCAAGCCCTACAACTAACTCCCCCCATCCCACCCCCACCCCAAAAAGAAGCATACATTTCCTGGGGACTTGCCTCTACATACTCTGTGTGTGCTAGTCTGGCTCAGCAACATCCTAATCACCAACTTACCCCATATACCCTATCAACCACCACTTCTGTGGACTCAGCAATGTGGGTGTGTACACACACACACATTGTTGTGGGGTCTGAACTCAGGGCCTAGGTGCTGTCCCTGAGCTCTTACTCAAGGCTAGAACTCTGTCACTTTGAGCCACAGCTCCATTTCCAGTTTTCTGGTGGTTAATTGGAGATAAAAGTCTTAAGGACTTTCCTGCCCATGCTGGCTTTGAACCACAATCCTCAGATTTCAGCCTCAAGTAGCTAGGATTACAGGCATGAACTACCAGTACCTGGCTAAAAATTATATATCTAAGCCAGACATGACAGAACATTCCTGTAGTTCTAGCACTACAATGAGGTTGAGGCAAATGACTTTGAGTTGAGGCTAGCCTAGGGTTCATAGTAAGACCCTGTCTCAAAAACTGAAACAACCGCAATAAAAAACAAACAAGCGGGCTGGGAAGTTGGCTCAGTGGTAGAGCGCTTGCCTTGCATGCCTGAGGCCCTGGGTTCGATTCCTCAGCACCACATAAGCAAAATGAAAAAAGACGGAAGTGGCGCTGTGGCTCAAGTGGTAGAGCGCTAGCCTTGAGCTGAAGAGCTGAGGAACAGCGCCCAGGCCCAGAGTTCAGGCCCCACGACCGGACCCAAAAAAAAAAAAAAACAAGCTTGGGGCTGGGAAGATGGCTCAGTGGTAGAGCGCTTGCCTTGCATGCCTGAGGCTCTGGGTTCGATTCCTCAGCACCACATAAGCAAAATGAAAAAAGACGGAAGTGGCGCTGTGGCTCAAGTGGTAGAGCGCTAGCCTTGAGCTGAAGAGCTGAGAACAGCGCCCAGGCCCAGACTTTAGGCCCCACAACTGGACCCCAAAAAAAAAACAATAAAAAAAAAACAAGCTGGGCGCCGGTGGCTTACGCCTGGCCTGTAATCCTAGCTACTTAGGAGGCTGAGATCTGAGAATCGAGGTTCAAAGCCAGTCCCAGCAGGAAAGTCCATGAGACTCATCTCCAAAAATTAACTACCAGAAAACTGGAAGTGGCACTGGCTCAAGTGGCAGAGTGCTTACCTTGAGTTGAAGAGCTCAGGGACAGCTCCCTGGCCCAGAGTTCAAGCCCCAGGACCGACCAAAAACAAACCAACAGGGGCTGGGAAGCTGGCTCAGTGGTAGTTTGCCTTGTATGCGTGAGGCCTGGGTTTGATTCCTCACCACCACAAAATCAGAAAAAGCCGGAAGTGGTACTATGGCTCAAGTGGTAGCTAGCCTTGAGCTGAAGAGCTGAGGGACAGTGCCCTGGCCCAACATTCAGGCCTCATGACCACAAAAACAAAAACAAACAAAAAACAGAACCAATACCTATTATCTCCAGGCATTGTTCCACTGGGGAAACAACAGTGAACAACATTTATCTTTTTTTTTTTTTTTTAGCTTTGTTGGTCATGGGGCCTGAACTCGGCCTGGGCACTGTCCCTCAGCTCTTCAGCTCCAGGCTAGCACCCTACCACTTGAGCCACAGCACCACTTCAGGCTTTTTCTGCTTATGTGGTGCTGAGGAATTGAACCCAGGGCCTCATGCATGCAAGGCAAGCACTATGCCACTAAGCCACCTTCCCAGCCCCCAGTGAACAACATTTAGAAACTCCAATCCTTGAATCTGGGAGCCTGGTTCAGCGGTAGATGACTTGCCTACCATGCATTTTTTGTTTGTTTTGTTTTTTGTTGGTCATGGGGCTTGAACCCTGGGCCTGGGCACTGTCCCTCAGCTCTTCAGCCCAAGGCAAGCACTCTACCACTTGAGCCACAGCCCGCACCACTTCCAGTTCTCTGGTGGTTTATTGGAGATAAGAGTCTCACAGAC